AATTGATTATTTAAATTGTAAAAATCGATTATTATGAATTAATGGATTATTTAAAATTATATAAATCAATTTTTATAAATTAAATGATTATTTTAAATTATTTTCCTCAATTCTAGATCCTGTTCTGAAAATATTATTGAAAATATGCTCTAAAATCCTATTTTTGATACCAATTAATTATGCACAATATAAATATGATTTTGTACAATAAAAATGATGTTTGTGACATATAAACATTATGTGATGCATGACGGTAAGTTCGAGTGTTAACACTCGAGACTAGGCCGCTGTTTGCTATTAAATATTATGTTGAATGATCATTATGATGAATAATTATTATGGATAATTATGAATGATAAACCTACTGATTAAAATGATTATTGATGATTAAGTCATGATTAAAAATGAATTAATGGTGATTATGAAAATAATGTATATTGTTAAGGATATCTAGAAGAACTCTAAGATATACCCACTTGTATATTGATGATGATTATTAAGGATATCTAGAAGAACTCTAAGATATACGTACTTGACCAATTCATATTTCGGGTTAAAACGTACGTACGGGATCCAGACAGGATATCACCCACCCGGATTAAACGTGATCAGGCACCACGGATTAAACCCAAGGATAACCAACAAAATCACAAAGCCTCAAGATCAGATGCCACCCCTGAAGAGGATTATTCATATTTACATTAGCCCAAACCAACCCAAAATTCAGCATCCAAGTGAATTGTCATGTTTTTTTCACAATCCCAATCAAGGAACACAAACAATAATGACAATAGCCTCCTTAGGAATGCGGCATGAGCGGGACTGAGGGAGGAGCCCGGGGAAACCAAGGAAAACATCTCCCATTTTCCTTCAACATACTCAAACAAGCCATAAGCAAGACACAATGAGCTAAGCTTCATCAAAATCAGGAGCCCACGGGTCCTCAACAGAATAATAAGATAGCAGTAGTGAAGAACATGAACATTACCACATTTTCAAGAAAGCATGAAACCAATTGCATTTGTTGGATAAAACGGTAGTTTCAATTCCATAATAAAACGACCAAAAAACCACAAAAATCAGGAGCAAAACAAACAAGAACCTGGTAAAATCTGGAGACCAAACCCTTGCGGTGGACAGTAACGGCAAATCCAGATTTCAGCTCAAATCAAATGATTCTTCAATTGGAATGGAAATCCAACTTTAGACCTTGAAAGAGCATCCCAATTTTCTTATAATCCTCCACAAATCGGGCTTCAATTGAGCTTGAAACGAGGTAAAGTCGACTCTGCTATTCCCGAGATGAACAGTAAAGCGAAGAACTTGCTTTGAATTCATGCACAATCCATCCCTAAAAATCAAAGATGAAAGTCGAAGGGAGGATCGAGGTACAATACTGTAAGATTGCCTCATTCCAGCGGAGATGGTGTCGATTATCAAAGTTGGGGAAGATAGCATCTATTACATGAGATGGGGGGATGGCGCCGATTACAAGAGATTGGGGGAGAGGGCATCGGTTACTAGAGATGGCGGAGAGATGGTGTCGATTGCTGGTGATGGGGAGAGAGATGGCGTCGCCTCTGCTTCTGGAAGTATTTAATTTGAGAAGTCTTCACTGATCTGCAAGGGAAAAGGTAGCGGCCTTTTTTATCCGGTGCTGAACGTATACACTAATTATACTCCCAATTAAAGTCGTGATTTTTAGAGAGAGAACATTTTTCTTTGAAGAATCTACAGCGGTTCTAATTTATCCGTTGTCTATTGGGCGCCGTTAAAGAATCATTCTGTAGTAGTGTAAGGAAATAATAAATTAATTTGTAGGTGCTACGAAACGCCTAACAAGGCGGGGTGAATAGCGTTTGAAACGAAATAACGCAGGAACAAAAATTTAAAGGCGTAAATAAAGAGTAAGGAGAAGGCACACCGATTTTTCCCTGGTTCACCATAATGTGTGGCTACGTCCAGCCTCCCGAGAGACTCTCTCGAGTTACACTATCAACGTTAAGCTTAACAAACCCGTACAACTTGAGAATTCGAGTCACACGAACCTTAATGATCCTTCGAAGGAAACAAACCTTCCTTCGAACCAAACAAGAGAATCACCTTCTCTTAACAAGTGTCTAAAACACAAATTCACTCAAAAACAATACTCTCGTTTAGAGTGGATGTTGAGTAACTAAAAACTCTCAAGAACACAACTAAAACTTCACGAAAATGGCTCTCAAAAAGTTATGAAAAGTATATGAATAGAACGCAAAGAGTAATGTGAGTTGTAAAGTAATTGGATGAGAAAAGCAGACCCAAACATCCCAATTTATAGTGGAAAAATAGTCTCCAACGTGTGGGAGTTTATTGGGGGTAATTGACATAATTTATGGGATTTGATTAAAATTGGATCTGCTGAAATTTGGCCTAACAGCGCTGTTCATCACTTGAACATCGCTATTGAGGCTTAACCTTTTTAATTGGAAGCTTCAACGCTCATGCCAACAGCGGTGCAGAGAAAGTGATGATCGTTGTTCAATGTGTTGACTTCCAAAAATGGAAAATTTTTGCCTTTAATTTATTCCAATGGTCAGGTGCCTACATCGATGTTCATAAGTGAACGTTGTTGTTCAGGCCAAAAACAATTTGCCAAACTCATTTTGTCTTGGCCTGAGTTGAACATCGTTGTAGAGTAATCTACTGTAACGCCACAAAATATGGCCTAAAATTTATTATAAAATAAAAGTAGTGTTGAATATCATTTTGGTCCAATAAAGAATATTTTTACGTTTGACCAAAAATAAATGGATTTTCAAAATAATGACTTTTTGTTAAAAACTTATTTTTATGGATATGTCTCGAAGAGACGAATCCAATGGTACATTTCATGAACAAATCTGATTTATAGATTTCAAGCTATGACGATTTTAAATATTAAAATTTATAACTTTGACCCATAAATTAAACTCAACACAAAAGTGATTTCATAAGATTAGAAATCTTAATCTTTGACACTTGACAATACCATATTCATCATTTGGATATAAATCATATATTTTTATCTCATTCATATTATTAACTTAATTTATGACTGAGACAGACCCAGATATTAAAAAAATAAATGTTCTCAGAAAAATATTTTGATTATGTCAAAATTTTAGTTTTGACAGTCTCATTCCAAAAATACAATCTGTTTTCAATTCGGAGCAGTTTGGGCGAAAAAGCGCGTACCGTTTGGGATAAATTTATCAATTTGGACTAAAAGCCAAACTTTATTTCCTAAACTTCCTACTCAATCACGGATCAACATATTTTTCTCCCCTACTCCATTCCTAGCCACCTCAACCTTCACAAAATCCTACCAATAATTCCTACCCTACACTAAAAACCAAAAGAAAAAAACAAAGAAAAGCTACACTATATCACCATCATCATCATCTCCCATCATCTATCCACAACACTCCTCTCTCCTCCCCATTCTCTCTCTGTCGGTCAAGCATCNACTAAAAGCCAAACTTTATTTCCTAAACTTCCTACTCAATCACGGATCAACATATTTTTCTCCCCTACTCCATTCCTAGCCACCTCAACCTTCACAAAATCCTACCAATAATTCCTACCCTACACTAAAAACCAAAAGAAAAAAACAAAGAAAAGCTACACTATATCACCATCATCATCATCTCCCATCATCTATCCACAACACTCCTCTCTCCTCCCCATTCTCTCTCTGTCGGTCAAGCATCAAGAAAGCGGAAAGACAATTTCATCTCCATTGTTGTGCTAAGAAAGAAGAAGAAGAAGCGAGAAACCATCCAAAATTTCCAAAATCCAGAGTTAAAAAACGTAGCAGCCACTTCAAGGTAAAAACTGAAATTTTTCATCCATTTTCTCGAAAAACTTTCTATACCAAATCCAACCCAATAAACGGTTCGTGATTTCGTTGCGTAACGAAGGACATATGACCAAAATACCGGGACTGCGCAAGTGGTGGCGAGCTCCTCGAGTTGGCTATGTTTCTCCACTATATTCATATCGTTTCATTCCCAACACTTACCGTCAACTCTCTAACGGTTTTTAGGAACTTCGGAAAGTTATTTTCAAGAAGATTAGACGTTGGAAGCTTGAAGTTGATAGGGGTGACCGTACATTGAACGTTCGTTGAGACGTTATTTTTTCACAGCCATGTTCATCATCAAATATAATGTCCGTACCCTTGCGTTAGAATTATCGAATCGTTCATCACATATGTACATGAATATATATATATATATATATATATATATATATATATATATATATATATAAATATATATAAATTCATATGTTAAAAACATATCCAAATATATACGTAATACATATATATGACATATATGCGTTGAAATCAAAATACACCAAATCAACCCAACAACATGTATATGTTAATCAAAGGTGTTTAAACGACTTAAGGAAGTATTTTAGACACTCCAAAATATCAAGAATAAGTTTCGCAGACCCGAGCGGTCGACACAAACGGCTGACCGTGGTATTAATTTCCAAAACGGACTACGATTGTCAACAGAATGGTCGACCGCCGGAGCCAAACGCTCGACCGTCGCAGCCCTGCCGGTCGACCGCCGGTCAGGCACGGTCGACCATCACGGTGATCTGAAACTGACAAGATGTTTGATCATCAAGATTTTAAATGTGTCATGATTTGATTATTATTGTACTTCCGCATTACTCCGAAAATATTTTTAAATGGGTCGCGATCTAAAGTGTGTAAATTTAACATTTATATGTAGTTGTCATTTTCAAATGTCAAGCGAAATTTTTATTTAAATCCGGTTACACCTTAATTCATGTAATTCCGGGTTATACGGATTGAGGTGTTACATTTTGGTATCGGAGCAAATGGTTTTAAAAACGGTTTTCGGATGATTGAGTCAGTATTTTCAAAGTCCTGCATCCGCATCCTCCACGACATCTCTGCCCCAGGAAGGTAATAAGCAATTAAGTTATCATGGCATAACACACGTACTTATCTCATTGAAAATTTGATTCCTTTGAGTTTGTAGTATCCTCATAGACTCGATTGCAATAAAGTTTAGATTGCATCAGAATGATCTTCGACGATCACAGTACGTCGACATCAAAAGATCAAGGAGTAAGAAGAGAGATTGTAAATCCGATAAGCACGACATATACGTATGTGATTGTACACGAATGGCTGAGTGAACGATGTGAATCAACTTCTGTCAACCCGAAGAATACGTTGAGGAAAGAACTTTCTCCGATAGAAAGTGAACAATTTCCCCAAAAGTGAATCTGCCATTTTCTAAAGAACATGAATAGAGCCTCACAAACAAGATCGAATACGACATATGTATCGAATCTGAAACAGATTATTGGAGTGAATCTACATACAAACGTTAGAAAACCATATGGAAGCAAAGATATCAAGAAGTGCGTTAGAAGAATGAGAAGTGATTCTACTAACAGAAAATGTTGATATTTCAATATATTGAAGTTGCGACAAATCTACTACCCTAAGATGAAGAAAGAAACACGAGAAATTCTCTTATTAGAATTCATATCGACCACGTGGAATGAATAGGATAACGTATCTACAATAGGTAACGAGTAAAATTACACACATAACGCTGATTAGACGTAGATAATAGGAAGACTATAGCATAAATAGTTATGTGACTATGACATTGAGTTTGATTTGCAAGATTGGCCGCCAACGCATATCTTTTCAAATCACGGGCAAAGGATTATTGTATGCTTCATGTCGTAGTCAAACCACGGGTGCAACACTATTGGGTGCTTTACGTCATATTCAATTCACGGGTGAATAGCGACAAAGATTTAAAGACGATCCTATAGTCAAAAGGCTATGCATGTATGATAATAACGTTGTATATCTCAACCCCAACTATAAATTCAAGATGAGGATTGCCAGAAGCATACACAACCAAAAGAGAAAGAAGGAAAAACAAAAAAAAACTTACATATAAACTCAGAACAAAATATGGCTTCATTAAGAGGAAGAGCAGAAACTTCTGTCCAGTCCACGGGACACCAACATCCAAACCAAAGAGAGGACATACTCCAACCTCCAAGGGAGCATGCTTATGTACGAGTTCCAATACAAATGACACAGTATCGCTTACCATCAATGACACCCATGCAACCTCAGATTTTGACAACATATCGAATACCAACTGTGAGGGAAACACAAACTCCAAACCCTCCACGAATAACGCCAACACCAGCTTCAACAACTTGAGAAGTTCCTTTACCTTCAGGTAACATCGACCCATCAAACTCTGACTACGTAAATATTTTAGTTGATGTTATCAACAAGGGATGTCATGTCTATGATGGAAATCTCGATGCAACTGGAGCACATGCTTGGCTGAAGCAAATCATCAAAGTTTTTCATGACTTAGTGATGACTGAGAGATTTCAACTTCGTGTTGCTGAAGAGCCGTTAGTCGAACACACTCGTATGTGGTCGGAAAGAACTAAGAAAAGGCTTGAAGGCCAACCAACATGGCAAATCTTTGTAGAAGAATTTATTACTTATCACTTTTCACCAGCTGATCGTGATCGTGCTGAAATTGTGTTCTCATCAAGAACACAAGGTGAATCCACTGTGAGGGAATTTGCAGAACTTCTACAGAACGTAGCTGTCTATCTTCCAGAAAGAGCAATAAGTGAAGAACAACTCAGTGGGAGATTCTTAGTCGGGATAAATCCACGCATTCGACAAATAATGAATGTGTCATCATCGATGAAGTTTCGAGCCTTAATACGACTAGAAGAACGATTTGAAATGACACAAAATTAAGAGGATCAACTAAGAAAACCCTCGCGAAAGGGGAAAGAATGAGAAGTAGGACAATCTACTCAACGTAAACGAACACAGAATTTGCAAATTGATCCATTTCTAAGAACGAGGAAAGGGAAAAGTTGTCACTTATGTGGCGAATATGACCACACTGAGGGTGAATGTGATCCCCACCCAAGTCAATTGGGAGGACCACCATGAGAAACCACGCATGTATCAGTAGAATCCCAAACATATTAGAATATGACTACGTGTATAACTTATCATGTTTTTGGTAATAAGTAACGCAACTATTGTGTGAAGTAAGAATATTAGTGATATGACAAATACACTAATATTATAATTTTCAAGCATGAAGCTCTTTCATAATTATTGAGAAAGTCGAAAATTCCAAGGAAATTCGGGAATCATCAATCAGAAATTCAGTATTCAAGAATAATTACAAATCATCTTGAAAAGGCAAACACTGACAAAATAACAAGTGTTATCCAACACGTTCATCCAATCATTACAATGTGATAAAAACATATATTATTCTTATATATAAGTGTGATATATGTGTTAACTTTTACAAACAAGCTTTAATCAGCTTATTGACATTATGTTAGTCAGAGCAACTCCATTAAGGATCGCTAATGAGAGCTCGAGTTTTGAAACTATAATTATGTATTCATCTAAGAAACCTAGAATGATGACTATGGTAATAGTCATTCCCCAAAATACCGTTATGTAAAAACATCAAAACGGGAAACAATTCGTTCCAGCTTGTAAACAACAAAGCGTAATTTGTGAAACCAACATTCCAGACAAAGTCGTCTGAGAATGATTGTAGAAGAATTGCAGAAGGGAAATTTTATAAATTACCCCACTTTCAAGAAATGCAACCCATACAAGAACTCCTGAAAACTCCTACAACACGGCAAGAGGAAGTCTAAAAGAAATCTAAATACGTTACATCTATCATCCGCGTATATCTTTTCTTGAAAGAGAACATGTCATAATCATGACACTCAACAAAAGAAAGAGAAAACAACTTCTTCAAATTAGTGTTTTACAAAACAATGGAAATTTAGGATTTTGTACACCGTCATTTTAAATGACTTCTCCTAATGAAATTTCGGGGACGAAATTTCTTTAAGGGGGGAAGAAATGTAACGCCACAAAATATGGACTAAAATTTATTATAAAACAAAAGTAGTTTTGAATATCATTTTGGTCCAATAAAGAATATTTTTACGTTTGACCCAAAATCAATGGATTTTCAAAATAATGACTTTTTGTTAAAAACTTATTTTTATGGATATGTCTCGAAGAGACGAATCCAACAGTACATTTTATGAACAAATCTGATTTATAGATTTCAAGCTATGACGATTTTAAATATTAAAATTTATAACTTTGACCCATAAATTAAACTCAACACAAAAGTAATTTTATAAGATTAGAAATCTTAATCTTTGACACTTGACAATATCATATTCATCATTTGGATATAAATCATATATTTTTATCTCATTCATATTATTAAATTAATTTATGACTGAGACAGATCGAGACATTAAAAAAAGTTCTCAGAAAAATATTTTGATTGCGTCAAAATTTTAGTTTTCACAGTCTCATTCCAAAAATATAATCTGTTTTCAATTCGGAGCAATTTGGGAAAAAAAGCGTGTACCTTTTGGGATAAATTTATCAGTTTGCACTAAAAGCCAAACTTNTTTGACACTTGACAATATCATATTCATCATTTGGATATAAATCATATATTTTTATCTCATTCATATTATTAAATTAATTTATGACTGAGACAGATCGAGACATTAAAAAAAGTTCTCAGAAAAATATTTTGATTGCGTCAAAATTTTAGTTTTCACAGTCTCATTCCAAAAATATAATCTGTTTTCAATTCGGAGCAATTTGGGAAAAAAAGCGTGTACCTTTTGGGATAAATTTATCAGTTTGCACTAAAAGCCAAACTTGATTTCCTAAACATCCTAGTCAATCACGGATCAACATATTTTTCTCCCCTACTCCATTCCTAGCCACCTCAACCTTCACAAAATCCTACCAATAATTCCTATCCTACACTAAAAACCAAAAGAAAAAAAATAAAGAAAAGCTACACTATATCACCATCATCATCATCTCCCATCATCTACCCACAACACTCCTCTCTCCTCCCCATTCTCTCTCTGTCGGTCAAGCATCAAGAAAGGGGAAAGAAAATTTCATCTCCATTGTTGTGCTAAGAGAGAAGAAGAAGACGAAGCAAGAAATCATTCAAAATTTCCAAAATCCTGAGTTCAAAAACGCATCAGCCACTTCAAGGTAAAAACTGAAATTTTCCATCCATTTTCTCGAAAAACTTTCCATACCAAAGTTGTAGCCGCGGATGTTAGGAATCCAACACAACAAACGGTTCGTGATTTCGTTGCGTAACGAAGGAGATATGACCAAAATACCGGAACTGCGCCAGTGGAGTCGAGCTCCTCGGGTTGGCTATGTTTCTCCACTATATTCATATCGTTTCATTCCAAACACTTACTGTCAACTCCCTAACGGTTATTAGGAACTTCGGAAAGTTATTTTCAAGAAGATTGGACGTTGGAAGCTTGAAGTTGTTAGGGGTGACCGTACGTTGAACGTTCGTTGAGACGTTATCTTTTCACTTTCCATGTTCATCATCAAATATAAGGTCCGTACCCTTGCGTTAGAATTATCGAATCGTTCATCACATATGTACATGAATATATATATATATATATGTATGTGTGTGTGTGTATATATATATATATATATATATATATATATATATATATATATATATATATATATATATATATATATATATATATATATATATATATATATATATATATATATATATATATATATATATATATATATATAGACACACACACACACACACACACATATATGGGATTGACTCTAGTCAGATGACATGTTTCGTTCAGATGACACTTTCGGTCAGATGACAACGTATGGCTCATTAGGAATCAACGTAGCGCTCATTCTTAAACAACGTAGGATTCATTCTCACACAACTGTTCATGACAATGTAGTGTTCATTCCAAGCCAGCGAGACGACAACATAGGGTTCATTTTGAATCCACGTAGTGTTCATTCTAAGACATCGTAAGGTTGATTTTCACACAATTGTTCATTATAAACGTAGTACTCATTCTGAAACAACCTAGTACTCATTCACAGTCTGCTTAGTGTAGTGTTCATTCTGAAATAAGGTGGTGATCATTCTCAAACAAGGTGGTGCTCATTCTGATGCATGTCATCTGACCGAAAGTGTCATCTGATCGAAAGACGTCATCTGACTGGAGTCAATCCCTATATATATATATATATATATATAAGGGAAAGGAAAACGCTCAACTGAAAACAAGAAAGGGTGAAATATCTTGTTCAATAGGATAACTAATGTTAAAACGAGAGTATTGATACAATAATTATCATATCAAGAAATCAAAAATGAGTTGCGATTTGCGAAACCATCTGGGGAAAAAAGGATTGATAATGGCACTTAATCTTCATCCTCCTCTTCATTCTCAGCAATGTTGAAATATCTCAACTCGTAGACGTTTTTATCCTTGTTTGAAGAAATAACACGGAGCCAGTCACGCACGCTGTTCTTCTTCAAGTACTTCTTTGTCAAGTACTTCAAATACCTCTTGGAAAAGTTGGAATCGGAAGTGACGGTGATCTTCGTCTTCTCGCGGACGACGGTGACGGAGTCGCCGAGAGCTCCGGCCTTGCCGCCGACCTTGATGCGCTCCTGGAGGAACTTCTCCAGCGATGCGATGTCCATGATTTTGTCTTCCACCGTCTTGGAGCAGTCGATAACGAACGTCGCTCCCTTCTTCTTCCCTCCCTTGACGGCGCCGGCACTCCCCTTGCTCATCTTGACCGTTCTCACCTGAACGTAGAAGACGGCTGTGATGAATGAGGAGAATCGAGGAGCGGCCGCAAGGCATATATATATATATATATAGACACACACACACACACACACACATATATATATATATTCATATGTTAAAAACATATCCAAATATATACGTAATACATATATATGACATCTATGCGTTGAAATCAAAATACACCAAATCCATAAAGTTAATATATACATAAGCATATATTAACATTGGAAATCAACCCAAGAACATGTATATGTTAATCAAAGGTGTTTAAACGACTTAAGGAAGAATTTTAGACACTCAAAAATATAAAGAATAAGTTTCACAGACCCGAACGGTCGACCGTGGTATTAATTTCCAAAACAAATTATGACTGTCAACAGAACGGTGGACCGCCAGAGCAAAACGGTCGACCGTCGCAGCCCAGCCGAACGCAACAACACCCCAGGTAGTCAACAGCGGTCGAGCGCCGGTCAGGCACGGTCGACCGTCACAGTGATCCGAAACTGACGAGATGATTTCAAGCACGGCCGACTGCCGTGTCAAACGGTCGACTGTTCCGAGCCCAGTAGCATAAGTAAATGATATTTTAATCATTTTCAACTAAATAAACTCATGCATAATTATATATTCATATTGTTTGCAAATTGTTATTATAATATCATTCATTTCATCATTCATATTGAAGCATATCACATCATGTAACGCCTTACAAACCGGCCTAATAGTTAGCCAATATTTTAAATAAATAAATGATATTTATTTATAGAGACCCCTTATTTTAAGTAATAAATACTGAGATTTCGATCTCATTAAATGGACTTCCAAAGTTAATATATTTTAATAACGGACCTCTCAACATTAATTAAATAAATAAATTAATTAATGATTAAGACGAATCTGGAAGTTTGAAATAAAGTTTTCAGAAAAACATTTTGAAGATATCATAAGTTTAGTTTTGATTGTTTATTTCTGAAAACGCAATCGGTTTTCAATTCGGACCAGTTTAGGGGGAAAACGTGTACCGTTCAGGTCAGAATTAACACAACGGAATGAGATTTAGGGATGTAACCCCCAAATTCATTCCACACGCCACACACACCCTTTCATTCTCCCATTTATTTCTCATTACTCCTCTCTTTAATTCTCCATTCATTCCCCTCCATTATAAACCCACTCCTCTCCCTTCCATCCCTCCATCATTTTGTAACCCACCAACCATCCAACTCCCTCTCTCTCTCCCTTGATTCGACGGATAGCAGCGGTGCATGCGTGGAGGAGGAAGGCCGACAAAGGAGAAGGAGAGGAAGAAGAAGAAGGAGGTGCTGATTTTCGGAAGCAAAATCCCGTCAGTCAACTTTGGGCAGAATTTCGACCATCTTCAACTCAGTTTTAGGACGTGGTTTCTTGACCAAAGCTATAGCCCTGCAAGTCGCTGAACCACAGCCGCAAACAGCTCTTCAATCGGACGAGTAATGAAGGCGATACGGCCGTTTTACCAAAACTGGTCCAGTGGTGACGGAAAATGCGAGATTTGCAACTTTAGTATCCATTCTCGTTCCGTCTCATCCCATCTGCTATTCGTTGAATTCGTACCGACTCTTCACAACCCCTATAACATATTCGCAAGTAGAAACGGAACTCAAGAAGCCGTTTGGAAGTCGGAAGGTCAACGGTTTGACGACCGTTCGTTGACGTTGATTCGTTTGGTTCCTTTAAACGTTGAGTCGTATTCGAGGTATGTACACCCTAGATATAACGGAGGAATCTTTAATATATTTATATGCAAATATCTTTGTTGTTTACATGGTTATTTGTATATAGATTCATATCATGTTATATCCTTGATCTATTAACGTTGCGTAGAGAAGAACGAGGATTACAAACCGTTATGGAATTGAATGATTATACAAGACTTAATGGATGTTTGACTCAAATCTAAACAATAAGGATTGAGAAATAAAAGTGGTAGAATGGTTAGATTATGAAGAATATGGTTAGGCTTGAGAAAATACCAATGAATATCGGAATAGCATCACTTGATACGTATATGTGAATAAATTTGACACGTGAATGAACAAGTTGGAAAACACCTAGACCACATTTAGACGATTACATGAACACGTAAATCCATGCCCAAATATATGTGTTGTACATGTATGAACGAATGTGTATTTGTTGCTTTATATGCTCTACTACTTGGCATAACTTTCGTTGAAACCGTATGATCGTAGTTTTCTTGCTATACAGCTATATTATATGAAACTCGTTGAAAAAAAAATCATCTAGAAATCCATTTGGAATTTAGAGGAACTCAATATTTAGATATATTTGTGAATCTTACATGTTCATTATAATTTTCAAAAGGTTGAATGTAATTCGACAGACCAAAGTAGAACCTGAGTACTGTGATAGTAGATTGTCAAGTTCTGATAATCTACTATCAGGTGCTGCTGAACTCTGATAGTCGATTATCACAAAGTGACAATCGATTATCAGAGGCTGTGAAACATTTGATAGTCGATTATCACCAAGTGATAATCGATTATCAGAGGCTGCAAAAGTTTTATGATTGATTATCAACAAGTGATAGTCAATTATCAAGGGCTGCTGAACTTTTAGAAAGATCTGAAATCAAAGTGCTTTCAAGGTAAGAATCAACAATTGAAATATGGATTAAAAATCGAGACTTAGCTTTCAATATAAGTCTTTGGGATCATAAGTCAGGTCGCACTGTACTTCTCATTAAAATCAGCAAGGTGTGACAATCGATTATCACATAGGTTATAATCGATTATCAGACCCTATAGATTCCTGAGTTAGAGCTGGTTTTGCAGGATAATCGATTATCACAGAAGCATTAATCAATTATCAGGCCTCTCTGAACTTGGGTTTCCTAGACCAAACAATTTGACAATCGATTGTTAAAAGGTGACAATCGACTATCACAGTGTGCAGGACTTTGGGAACAGAAGCTGCTCAGCATGATAATCGATTATCAACAACGAATAATCGATTATCAGCCAGTTCTGAACCCAATGCCATCATATTGTACAAATCATTTTCATATTGAATCAAACCTATATGTATGTGTTGAACTTCATTCATCAAGCAATTCCTTCATATATTATGTATATCCTAGACGCATGTTTAGGATCAATACATACTTTGCATACCGCCACAAGAGGTCAGGCCTAGTGCGCCTTTTCCGCGGGCCCGTCCAGGATCCTGCGGGATCCAACGGGTTTTTTCATCACGAGGGCTTGTGTACGTACATGGTAGCTAGGCTCTAGCTATCACCCCCATTTCTAGTCTCCATCGGGAGACTAAGGCGTCCTAGGCTCATCTACCGCATGGGGATGATCACTAAAGGGCAGGGGGTTCCTGCGCAGTCTAACTCATGCATCATGAATCATTTGGCATTGCATCGTTTGTAAGTAATTATACAAATCTGAATATCAATTTGTATGTTGTATTGCAAAACGTACCGCACTTCATATCCAACATCGTCGACGACAAGGCCAAGGTATTTATGTCTGGATAATATTCCAAAATGAATCTCCATGATATGTATATGTGTTTCTTGTATCTTGTGCTATCTACTATGCAAGCATGAAAATTATGTGGCCAATGTGATGCATGGTATTTAAGTATAAATATGTTATCGATCTCTCGCGTTATCGTACAACTCAGCTTTATGCTGAGCGTGTAGTCTTTTTGTCTACACGTAGGTTGAAGCACAGATTGTGTGAACCACCCGCAGGACGAAGAGACGATAGGATGGCAGGTTGACATGCATGATTTTCACAAGTATTGCATTTGAAGTTTTGGGTTTGACCCACATCATTGTATTTGTATTATTTTAAGTCTTCCGCTATCTCTGACATTTTGTAAAAGGATCGATCCGAATTTAATATGTTGTATTTTGAAGTTTTGTTTTATGAATTTTATTTAATGATTTGGAAAAGTTTTAAAAATATTTCTCCCGTTTCACCTTAATTCCTATAATTCCGGGTTATACGAATTGGGGTGTTACATTTCAAATGCATGCGTAAGAGATCATGCCTCCGACATCACACGTTCGGGCTTAGTGTACGTACATGGTATTATGGCTTCCGAGTACCACCCCCATATTGTTTCTAGTCTCATCTCATTCGTGAGACTAAGGTGGCGTGAGTTCGTCGTACAAGCTGGGTGAATCTCATAGCGCAAGGGTCGTCCTTGCACGTTAGTTTCATGCATCATGTTATCATCATCAAGTACAATTATATTGATTACATAGGTGTCATGGAATCATCATCAAGAACAATCAAATTGATGAAATGTGAAATCATGTTATCATCATCAACTACAATTATATTGATTGCATAGGTCGTCATGTAATCATCATCAAAAATAATCATATTGATTAAATGTGCCATCAGGTAATCATCTTTAAATATTTATCATCACAAACCATCAACTGGATCATATAATATAATGTGTCATATGATGAATATTGTTATACATTTTTGTGGACGTATATAGATGTATATGTATATGTGTGTGAATTATTCTACAATTCTAGCGTGGTACCACTCAGCGGTTTTGCTGAGCGTGTAGTTTGTATTTTTCGTTGAGTACACGCAGGTAACAAGAAGATAATGACGGAACCACTCCCGGAGGGAAATGAGTCAGAGGAGATGCAAGGATTGCAGGCAAATGTTTGATCATCAAGATTTTAAATGTGTAATGATTTGATTATTATTGTACTTCCACATTACTCCGAAAATATTTTTAAATGGGTCGCGATCTAGAGTCTGTATATTTAACATTTATAAGTAATTGTCATTTTCAAATGTCAAGCGAAATTTTTATTTAACTCCGGCTTCACCTTAATTCGTGTAATTCCGGGTTATACGGATTGGGGGTTTTACATCTACATCGTTGTTCATAATGCTTCTGGAATTTCAGGCTTGGCTCAACAATGATGTACAATAACCAACGTCAATGTTGGGGGACTTAGTGCCAAATCATGGTTTTTAGGTGCCAACACCAAAGAGCGTTGTTGGTCACTCCAACATCACTGTTGGGCCGGTTTGCTAGAATCATGGCTAGCCAGTCAATGCCAAAAACTGATGTCAAAAAATCATACTTCTCCAAATTTAAAACGAAGTGTTGAAAACACTTATTTAATGTATTTTTATAAGAAACCAAATGAAATATTTTAAAAACCACGTCATTAAGGTAAAAACCACGACTAGCCAAGTTTATGGCGTTTCACATAGTTTTTAGCAAACGACAAAAAATGAAAAGTGGTTTTTGTAGCGTTTTGGTTGGAGAACTGTTAAAATGTGCCTAGAAGTAAAAACCAATCATAAAAGATTAAAAAAACTTGGTTGGTTCCGACTCCAAAAACCAACGCCGGTTTCTGAAAACCGAATGCTGGTTTTTGAAAGCCAAACACCGGATGGCTTAGTTTTTGGTTTGGAAAAACTCCATGTGTTTTTAGGCTTATTAAAACTTATGAAAATGATTTTGATGATGCATGAAAAGTATTTAATGTATTTAGCCTAAAGAGCCAATTTGTAAAGTCAATTTCGGCCTTGATCACACAAAGACCAACTCAACTATTTCTACGTCTTCGTTCTTTGTTCTTGGTTCTCGTTTTCACTTGATCAATATGCCTTGTTTCTTCGTCTTTAAATTGTTCAATCTCTTCTTGTTTTCAAGGTGGTTTGGCATTATCAAAACATGTCATAAAAGGAACACAGCTTTAGTACGACATAGGCGTAAACCCGTGTTCCAACACTTGGAAGCGTTAGTTTTTCCATCTTCTTCTTGGGCTTGAATGGTGGTTTACTAGGCTCCGGCCCTCTATGTCCGTTTGCCATTCTTCCCAAGGATCAGGTAGCGAAAGTACTCTATGTCCTTTTCACATTCCCTTCCTTGCTTTGACGGAGGCATAAATCTTTTCTGCCTCCAGGGGGGAATAACATTTTCTACCTCCCATATTTTTAGAAGGTGACATAAACTTTCCTACCTCCCTGTATTAGGGGTATCCCTCCCCCCAGTTTTTTTGAATGTAGAACCATGAACCAACACTTGGTATTTATTAGTCATAGCTTATAAGTGTTCTACGTTCCATGTTCTATCTATTTCTTTGAATCTAGAACCATGGACCAACACTTGGTCTTTATTATTTAAATCTAGAACCATGAACAAATTACAACCGGATTACTGATAAAACTTAACCAAGTGTTCTACGTTCCATGTTCTATCTATTTGTTTTCCTTTCGGAGTCATTAGCTTGTAAGTACCCAGGCGCAGGACCGCTTTGATGACATATGGACCTTCATAGGGCTTTGCTACCTTTCCTCCCTTTCTTGTCTGGCTCTTTTCCCTTTTCCTCAAGACATAATCGCATACTTGTAATGCTCTTGGCTTCACCCTTTTATCCAAGTAGGATATAACTTTTTTTTTATAATTTTCTGCCTAGATCTGAGCTTCTTCCCTCCTTTCTTCCAGGAAGTTCAACTGGATTGCTTGATTTTCCTCGTTTCCTTGTGGATCATACTGTCGTTCTCTCCAGATAGGGAGGATGGCTTCCAGTGGTGCCCGGGCTTCAAAGCCGTATGCCAATCTAAATGGTGTGTTCTGGGCAGTTCATCTAGCCAACTGCCACCTTTAGCTTGCAGCTTTTTTTTATCCCATCCAAAACTATGCGACTTCCATTCTCCACTTGTCTATGAGCTTGTGGATATGCCACCGAGGCTTTGCCATGCTGGATACCCCACGTCTTCAAGAACTAGCTAAAATTCCTGCCTTTGAATTGGGTCCTGTTGTCAATGACTATTTGTTCTAGGACGCCAAACCTGCATAGTATGTTGGTCCCTATGAAATTCACCATTTGTTGCTCAGTGATTCCAGGCAGAGGCTCAGCTTCCGCTCTTTTAGTAAAGTAATCAATGGCTACAACCACCCATCTTGCCTGTTTCCTGCTTTTGGCAATGCTCCGACCAAGTCTATTCCCCATCTAGCAAAGGGAACCACCGTGCTAATAGGAATGTAGTTCGTGGCAGGCCGTGCGGGCATATTTTTGAATTGCTGACATGTGGGGCACTTGCGCGCATAATCTTCACAATCTTTCCTCATAGACGGCCAAAAGTATCCCTGGATTATGGTCCTACCAGATATAGAGTAAGGGCCTTGGTGCGCTGCACAGATACCTTTATGGATTTCTTCCATGAGTTCCCGGGCTTCTGCTTTCCTCAAGCATCTAAGCAATACTCCGTTATAGGAGCGTTTGTACAAAATTCCACCCTATACTACGTAACTCTCTGCCCGCATTCTTAAAAGCATAGCCTCATGTGGATCTTCTAGGAGCTCCCCGTCTTCAATGTACTTGGCCAACTTATCCAACCATTCGGGTGGGTTCGAAGCTGCCCAGGTGACCACCTCCTTGGTTAAACTCGGGTTCTCTATTTCTTCCACAGTGGAGAGCTTGTTGATGCATTCCGGGGACTCTTCTCTTAATTTTTACAATACATCAGCTTTAGTGTTGGATTCCCAAGGGTAAACTGGAGCTCGTACTTGATCCCACTCATCATTTCCAAGGCATGATCTCTGTACTTCTTCATCCTTCCTTCCTTGGCCTCAAATTATTGATCTGTCCGTCAACAAGTTTTGAATCACTGAAGATTTGTATCTTTGTTGCTCCAAGTTTCTGGGCTTCCCGTAACCAGTTTATCAGTGCTTCATATTCAGCTTCATTGTTGGAAACCCGGAGCCCGAAGCAGATGGCATAATAGATTCTAAAGGCTTCTGGGGTGGCCAATACAATCCCGGTACCACATGACCGGGATCTGGAAGATCTATCTATCCACATCGACCACCATCATTTCCCATTGTCTCGGGTCATCTCCAAGTGCCTAGTCTGCTCCCTGGCTATACACTCGTTTTGGAAATCGGTCAGTGCTTTCCCCTTAATAGAAGGGCGTGGCTTAAATTCGACCTTATACCGGCTCAAGAAAACGGCCCACTTGATCATCCAGGCTGAGGCCGCCGGGCTTTGGGAAAGGGAGGCCAAGGGTTCACTTGTCATTACATGGACTTGGTGGGCCCGAAAATATGGGGTTTACCTCTTTTCTGTCCAATAGATCACCAGCATCACCTTCTCCGGTCATGAATACCTCAACTCTGCATCCCTCAATGTCTTGCTGACATAATAAACCGAATGTTGTACAACATCCTCTTCTCGTACATTAATGTACTCACTGCAGAGTCAGAAATGGCTATGTATAGAATCAAAGTGTCACCTAGCTCTGGTTTGGACAACATGAGGGGATTAGCCAAATATCTCTTTAATTCCTCAAATGCTTCCTAGCAATCCTGTGTCCATTCGAATGTTGCCTACTTCTTGATTACGCTGAAGATGGGATGAGCTTTTTTTCCAGCTAGGATAAGAATTTGTTCAAGGCCGCCAACCTCCTGGCCAGCAGCTACAACTCTGTGCTTGTCTTCAGAGGTTCCATTTCAAGGATCGCTTTCACCTTATCTGGGTTTAATTCAATCCCTTTTCGGCTCACCATATTCCACGGGAACATCCCCCCTTGCACCGCAAAGGTGCACTTTTTTGGGTTGAGTCGGAGGTTCACCTTCATCATGATCCCAAACACCTCCTCTAAGTCCCCGACATGGTCTTGTGCTTGCCTTGATTTGACGATCATATCGTCTACATAAGCTTCCATGGTCCGGCCCAAGACTGGTCTAAACACCTGTGATATCATCCGGGTATCTATGGCTCCAGAATTCCTTAAACCAAAAGCCATTACCAAGTAGCAATACAAACCTTTCAATGTCATAAAGCTTGTTTTTTCGACATATGTTGGGTGCATCCGGATCTGGTGATACTCACAGAATGCGTCCATGAAACTCATTAACTCACATCCGGTAGTCCCATCCACCATTTGATCTATGTTCGGCAGTGGGAATGGGTCGGACATGCCTTGTTCAGATCCGTATAATATACACACATCCTCCAGCTTGGAGGCTTGGGTTCCAGGACTACATTGGCCAACCATTCTGGGTATTAGGCCTCTCGAATGTGTCCAATGCTCTACAACATGGCCACCTCCTTCTTGACAAACTCCCTCCTTTCTTGAGCTAGGTGTCTCCTTTTCCGTTTGATCGGTTTAGCTTCAAGAAGGACATTCAGCCTGTGGACAACAAATTTTTGCTCGAGTCTGGGCATGTCTGTCAGCACTCTAGGAAAAAACCTTCCTGAAACTCCTTAGAACTGTGACTACCCAAGCCCTGAGTTCAACCCCCAGACCCTTGCCTATCTTGACCTTCTTGTCCAGTTCAGTTGGCTCCAGGCTTATCTCCTCTATATCTCACTCTACTTCTATTCAGGGGCGCTTCTCATCTGCCTTCAGCAATTGAGAGGTCAGTTCTCCCAGCTGGGTGTCAAACATAACCAACTCCTTGGTAGTTTTGAGATACCATGCCCGGGACTCTCTAGGATCCCTGGGCCACGACCTCTTTAACTTGATATCGCCTACCTCTACAGGTAGGGTGATGACGCCTTTCGGCTCGATAGAATCTCTGGTGAACCCGGTCAAGGAATTCTTAATGGGAAATAATTCCTCTCGTGCCAAACCTAGAGCCTTAAAGGTCTCCATGTACATGTTGTTCACGGAATTTCTCGTATCCACCCGTGTTTCCGCCAATGATGTAGTTGCACCTATGGTGGGTGCTGTTAGCCTTGGTTTCCTAAGCCTCATGTTTTGATGTTAACAAACAATATCAGAGCTAACGTTTGTTTAAGTGTTTCAGGTACAACAAGAATCCATTAAGAATCGGTTCTCAAGAATGAAAGTCGAAACACTAAACTATCGTAGAATATAGGTAGAAACCATGGTAAGGATATGATTTTATATACCTATATTCACCAGCTCAAAAGCGCTCACAAATATATGTTTAAATCCTTCATATAATCATTTTCAAACATCCAAAAGGTTTTAAATAAAATTGGAAACAATTTGGACAAAAATATAAAAAATCATCAAAATAGTCAAATGGTACCCTATACTGTAGGGGGTATCGTGAGTCAATCTGAGAAGGTACCCCTTTGGTTAGCTCGGGACCCCCCTACCGTAAGGGCTACCATGAGTCAAACTCAGAAGGTACCCCATACCGCTACCCGTACGTAGCTACCGAGTGTAATAATGGAGATCAGCTCCTTTTGCAGTATGGCGGTACCCTTTACCGTGATCCCACACGCAGATACCGACCATTAGGCAGAGAAACAGCCTAAAAACTATTGTGACAATACCCTATACCGTTTCAACGGTACCCCCTACCGTTACTGTCGGAGAAAAATTCAAATTTCAGATTTTAAATTTATTCACATTTAATTTGTCAAAATCCTTCCAAAATTGTCTCCAACAACTAAATGACTTTTCCCACTATAAATACAAGCTTAATCCTTCATATTTAAACAAGAAACGAAGCTCCAAACATCCTACTTTTACATTTCAAGTGTGTTTATTCTTCCATTCTTAATTCTTCATATTTTGGCTATTTTGAGAGCTTTAATCTTCAGATTTTTATACACATACTTTGAGCTTGTGTTTCTAGTTATATACTCTAATATTCATAAGTTTGAATTGTACTTTTAAGAGAGTAAAATTTCCTTCTACACCGGCTAAGTTTTGTTCTTCATTATTATATTGTAGCTGTTGTGTAGAATCCTTGTTTGTGTTCTTCAAACACATCTTCATATGGTCGAGAATAGCCATTAAATTCTCACGTTGTAACGGTTAAGGATAGGCGTATAAATCTTGGGGTAAAGGTTCAAGGATAGCCTTTGAAATCATTGGGGGAACGGTAGAAGATAACCGTTAAATCTTCATTGTAAACGGTTCGAGATAGCCATGGTGAAATCTCGGAGTGAATCCTATTGGCAGGAGTTGTTTGCCAAAACTAGTGCGGTGCTTTGACAGAGTTCTAGAGACCGGGACTTAGTGGATTCAGAAATTCTTGAGGAAGAGCCTTGAGGTACTAGAGTAGGGTTTCCGAACCAGTATAAAATTGGTGTGTCTTTTACTTTACGCTTTTATTTCTGCGTTTTATTTGTTGCTTCTGCATTTGCCAACACCATTTTTATTAAACTCTGAAAATATTTAAGCGCCTTATTCACCCCCCTCTAAGGCGTGGGCACAACAACTAACAAGTGGTATCAAAGAGGTTTTGTAGTTGAAAATGCTTAACCGCATCTACGACAAAGATCTACGCGTTGTGCCCTTTTTAAATTTGAATTTTTTAGAATCTCAAAAGTTTATTATCCGTGATTTTTGAAATTCAAATTTTTTTGAAATATGGACACAATGGATTCCCAAAGCATTCACCACCCTCCGTTTTTCAATGGCCAAAATTATTCTTATTGGAAAATGCGGATGGAATACTTTATGCAATCCATTGATGTTGATTTATGGTTAAATGTACTTCACGGGCCAATTTGTGCCGAGTAGTGGTAATCTTGCAGGATTATCTTCGGAGGATAAGAGAAAGTTATCCATGAATGCAAAGGCAATCAACATCCTCCATTTCTCTCTTGGCCCCGACGAATTTGCACGAGTATGCTCATGTAAAACGGCCAAGGAGGTATGGGATTTGCTTCAAGCCATGCATGAAGGCAACACCTCAACAAAGCAAACCATGTTGGCCCTTAGAAACTCGGAGTATGAAAGTTTTAAAGTTGGCCAACACGAGTCAATCCAAGATGCAAATAGAAGGTTCAATGAATTAAGCAACAAGATGGGTAAGGAATATTGTACAAGTGAATTGAATACTAAAATTTTACTTTCTTTGCCAAATGAATGGCATAAAAATATTGTAGATCTTTTACCCAAATGTGCAACGGAAAGCACTGCCCATATTTGGTCTTCTTTGTATTCTCATGAGCTTTTGATGATTAAGATGAAAAAATAATATTTGAGAGAAGACCCGAAACGAATCAATGCGTTCAAGGCATCCAAGGAGGAGTCTAGTGAAGACTCAAGTGACTCAAGTCATGAGTCAAGTGAAATGGATGAAACATCCAATGACTCTAATTCGTCAAGTGATGAACAAGACGAAGAAAGAGAAATAAGGAAGAAATATAAGAGTTTTTCCAGTCGAAATTTTATGAAGACTCAAGAAGGAGAAAATCAAAAGAAAAAGAATATTATAAACCTTCTAAACCGAAGAAAGAGCAAAATAAGCCAAGGTAAGTAGTTTTTACTTATTGGGATAAGATATTTTGTGTGTTTTTAATTGTTTTCAAAAATAAAACATTATCCCATGTGTGCTTTTATTTGTTTTAGCTTTGGTTTGCATGATTATATAATTTTTCAAAATTTATTTGTTTTAATCATGCCTTTTAGAAAATAATCCTCAAAAATCGCTGAAAATAAAGTTTTTAAACTTGCATCATTTTAAGGGGAGTTTTTGTTTTAGGGAGAGTTTTGTTGTAAATGCACCTTTTGCCCAATGATCTCCAAACAACCATTTTTTCCAAAAATTCAATTTGATAGAGGAGGGTTTTCAAGAAGTTATACATGGTTAAAATTTTCAAATTGCCCTTTTTTATTTTGACAAAAGGGGGAGAAGATGTATACTTCAAAGTGGTGCATGTGCAACTTGACTTGAGTGCATTCTTGTGTAACTATTTGCATCAAAATTAAACTTCTAATAAACAAAAGAAAATTTCAATGTGAGTATTTTCAATATGCTTATTTTTAGGGGGAGCTTACTTGCTTTATTTTTTTCACTCCTGCCTAACTCATTTTGAAGTATATTGTTTGTCAGCATCAAAAAGAGGGAGATTGTTAGCCTTGGTTCGCTAAGCCTCGTGTTTTGAAGTTAACAAACAATATAAGAGCTAACTTTTGTTTAAGTGTTTCAGGTACAACAAGAATACATTAAGATTCGGTTTTCAAGAATAAAAGTCGAAATACTAAACTAGCGTAGATTATAGGTAGAAACCATTGTAAGGATATTATTTTATATACCTATATTCACAAGCTCAAAAGCACTCAAAAATATATGTCTAAAACCTTATTATAATCATTTTCAAACATCCTAAAGGTTTTAAACAAAATTAGAAACAATTTGGAAAAAAATATAAAAAATCATCAAAATAGTCAAAAGGTAGCCTATACCGTAAGGGGTACCATGAGTCAATCTGAGAAGGTACCCCCTACCGTCAGCTTGGGACCCCCCTA